GTGCCCGCAGCCGAAGTGCGAACATCACCCCGACGATGGGTTCCAAGATGGAAACCCTCAGGCAAGCCTCTCCAACGCCAGATTTATATACGTGGAGTTTCATGAAACAAACCGCTTTTTAATACGTTTCACCTTTCTCCCCCACCCCCATCCCTCCAGCCTCCTCCCCCTGCTTCCAGCCTGCACAGTCAGGCACTGCAGTTCCTCTGGTTTCCAGAGCGGATACTCAGGCTCTGACCAAACCCTCAGGCAGAGGAGGCAAGGAGGCCTCAGGGGCTTTCTTCCGGGATGTGCGGGGACTCGCGGAGACCAAAACCCCCAACCGGGAGAAGCCCGGGGCGGCTGGTAGCCGAGGGCGTCGCTTGTTCCGCTGCGCTGCGGCCCGGACGACTTCAGACACCGCACAGTTAATATGGAGTTCCCCGTAACTCCTTGTAAATCTAACCCACTCCTCACCCCCCTTTAAATCCGTGGTCTTGTTCGCGATTTCTTACTTGACGTAAAATTCCTTGTTACCTAATCATGGACTTTTTTCGAAAGCTGCCTGCCCCGCCCCAGCCCGCTCGGATGAGAATCCCCTATCTAGATTACAAGCAAAATCTCCTCCTCTCTTTTTCTTCTTTCCTTTTTTTTCCTTTCTTGGATGAAAGCCCTATATTTTGAATTAAACACCCCAGAGTAGTTCCTGCGGCTGTAATAACGCCTGGGATCCTCGTCACATCCCCTCCACCAAAAACGCGCTCCCCAAACAAAACCCAAAGCCCCCACCAAACGGCATCTGGTTGATCTCAGGAAAACAAGGACACCTTTCCACCTTCTGCGGCGGGGCAGGCGGTTCTCCGGCCTAGACCCTCCTTCCAAAGAGCACTTGGCATTCTCCTCCGAGCTGGGGGAAGAGGGAAGGAGGAAGACTCGGTAGCGCCCAGGCCTCTTTTGCAATATTTCCACCAAGGACGCTTCTCTTTAAGATCACCTCCTTGCCCTGTGTGGACCGCAGGTCACGCTGATTGGTCAAAACCACTGACTCTTTAAAATAAAATTAGAGGCAATCATGATAATTTAGTTTACTTCTGAATATTTTAAATATTATGAAAACAAGTATAACAGCTTTGTTTTCAAAACTTTTTGAGGTATCAACCATTAAAAGATTGGGGTTTTGTAAAAAAAAAAAAAAAACCACAGTGGTTTATTGAATACTTACAACGTTTACACCTTCCATATTAATTAAATTCCATTTAGTTTTAGAGGACGGAAGTGCACAAAACAAGTAGCTGTTGGAAACGTCTTCGAACAGGGAACGACCACAGATGAAACGACACAGCACTAGATACCGGCCCCAACAGAAATGTTAGCGGCCCTGTTTTCTGCTTTGAAATAAAACTTTATAATCCCCAGGAATATTTATATCCAAAGGCCAAGTATTAAAGATACACTTCACAAAGGCACTAGTGTCTGCTGTCTTTATCTGGAAAGGGTTGGATAAGTGGGAAGGGGGCAACGCTGGTGTCTACACAGCCAAGAGGGAACATTCACACAGAGAAGCTACGAGACGACGGATGGGATCCCTTACCACGCAGGAGCGTCCTCTTCATATTAAAATATGGAATGCTTTTCTTCAAATATCCATTTTTTTGGAGGGGGAGGTGGGGAGCGGTGCCTCAAAGGGGGTCAAAGAGAGGGGAAGGAAATTGCACATAAATAAACAGGATGATTCCAAATGCAAGGAGTCCTCAGAGCCAAGCGAGGAGGGCTCGCCTGGAGTCCTGGGTCTGCATCTGGCGCCTTGGCCTCGGCTCGCTCGCGCTCTCCTCCTCCGCCTCCTCCTCCTCACTGCTTGAGCTCCAGGGCCCAGACGTGCTGCGGCCAGCCCGTCCGCCCTTTGGTTTTCTTGTCGTTGCTGCTCACTGTGCTTTTCAAGATTTCGTTCTGGGCAGAAGGGAGGCGAGGGCGAGAAAAGTGGAAAGAGAAATTCAGACAGGATACCTCGTCCCACGCCACCCCAGTGCTTCCCGGACCAGAGGAGACGGCGAGCAGGGGAGAAAAGGAGAGGAAGGAGGACGGTCCCAAGCCCCAGCCCCTGCAGAAAAGCTATGAAAGTTTGCGCTGCCCCAGCTACCGCCGAGGCCTCCAGGCTGCAACGCTCAACTACCGGATCCGCAAGTTTATAAACAACCGCCCGTTTTCGAGTCGTTTATGGAGGAGCTGGGGGCCTTTTCTCTGACTCCAGATGTAGGGGCGGGAGAGGGAGTCGGCGCTAAGTCTGGTTTCTGTGTTTTCAATAGCAATCCCAGATCCACACGCTAGGAAAAAAGGGGCGAAGGCCCCTCTGCTCCAGCCTGGGCCTCTCCGCCAGCGACTCTCGGCCTCCGACTCAACAGTGCCTCTGCTCCAGGGCCTCCGAAACCTCTGGATATTCGGGAGGTCACTCGATTATGCAGCGACCAAAGGGTTGCGGGCCCCAAAGAAGAAAAACTTGACAAATGGAATTATTTTCTAGGCCCTTCGTGGCAATAGCTCTGTCCTGAACACCACCACCCTGTGGGCACTTGGTAGGAATCTGGGAAAACTTTAAAAGGCTGTTGAATTTCGTGTAATTGTTAATAACGATGACTATAGTAATATTTGTTCATTTATTGTCTTAAAATGTACAGGCTTATTCAAATAAAAGTAGAAATACCCATGGAGTACACTCATCTGGGAAATTACATTTTAACGTCATAGCCAAAGAGAAATTGGAACTGTATTTCGAAGTTAAAAGTACTTTTTTTTATGTTTATCTTTACGTCCTCCGGACATAGTAATGAGAACCACCACAAAACTCTCTCAGGGCTCAGAGTCAGTGGCAGCCTCGTTCTGGGGGAGAGGGGGATGTGAAATCATCGGAGCCGAGAGCTTCTGGGCGAGTTGTTCTAGAAATACGTGAAAGCAAAATGGGATTGGAGGCCAAAAGGCGGCTGTAACAGATACAGGATGAGGGGTCGGGCCAGTGCTACAGAGAGTTTGCGAGACCCGTCCTAAGTGCCTGGGGAACAGCGATAACCCGGAGGGAAGATCACCAGCGTCCCTCTTAACCTTCTCCTCCTGCTGTCACCCTCCCCCATCTCTCTGCTCCTGCAGGAAACTATCCCTACCACAACCTGGTGCAAACAACCTTGGCGCGGGACGCAGCCAAAGAACACGAGATGCCATTTTTCAGCCCAGTTGGAAAGAGGCCGGAGTCCCCGTGCCCTGAAGCCCGCAGTCCCACCGCCCGCTGCCCCCTGGTACTGACCAGCTCCTTCTTCCTCTTCTCCTCTTTCACGTCTGTCTTCTTGATCTCTGCCTTGAAGGCCTCCGCCTCGCCGTTCTGGTCGTCCTTGGCCAGCAGGTCCATGAGGTAGGCGATGTAGCTGGTGGCCAGGCGCAGGGTCTTGATCTTGGAGAGTTTGGTGTCGGCGGGCACGTTGGGGATGCACTCGCGCAGTTCGGCGAAGGCGCTGTTGATGCTCTGAGTCCTACGCCGCTCCTTGCGGTTGGCGGTGCCCCGGCGCTTCACCGGGCGCGGCCCCCCCAGGCCCGGGGGCCCGGCGCCCGGCGGCACCCCCCCGTAATGGGAGTGGTCCAGACCGGCAGCGCCGCTGGCATACTCCGGGCTGTAGGAGAGGGCCATGCTGTAGTCGGGGGGCGACATCTCGGGGTGGCCGATGAGCCAGCCGTGGAAGTAGGGGTTCTCCTCGTGGCTGCAGCGGCTGGCGGCGGCGGCGGCAGCGGCAGCGGCGGCGGCGGCGAACGGATAGCCCTCATGGTGCACCACTGGGTGGTGGGGAAAGCCCCCTACCAGACTCATTTCGCCCTCCGCGCCCCTCCACGCGCCCCAGCGTGCGCGCAGCCCCGCTGCGCTCTCCCGGGCCCCGGCTTCGGCGCTCGGCGGCCTCCCCCACCCCCCACCCCCCAGCCCCCGGGCGCCCGGGCCCGCCCGGCAGCCGCAGAGGGGGCTGCTGCAGCCCGGGCCCCGTCCCCGCGTCTGGCCAGGCGGACCCGCCTCAGCAGCGCTGCGGCCGCCGGCTCCCCATGGGGCGCAGCGAGTTGGTCCCGGCACCGTGCGCCCCCGGTTGCCGCCGCCGCCGCTGGCTCCTGCCTTGCTCCACGGCCCGCGCGGCGGCTCCTGCTTCCCCGGCTGCGGCGCGGAGGCCGAATCCTCTCGTGCTCATGCAAAGGTGGCGGGGCTCCTGCGAGGCTGCTCCACGGCGATGCCGGACTCCACGCCCGGGCCGCAGTCCTGGCCCCGAAGCTAACCCGGAATCCAGGGGCGAGTCTGAGCCGCGGCTGGAGCAGCGGGCCCGGCTCTGCGGGGAGGCAGCGGGGTCGACTGCTCACTGCACAGCTACCTCGGTGCGACCCTCCCCTTCCCGCCTCGTCCCCTCCCCCACCAGCCCGATCTGGGTTCTTGGGCGCTTATTGTTTTAATGAAATTTTGGTTGTTGTTGTTGTTTTGGTCCTTGGATGTGATTTTAGCTGCGAGTAACGTGTCCTCGCTCCTCTCGGGCTCTCTCGGGGGCTTTTCAGAGAGGTCTCAGTGCATCCATTTTCTCAGATCCTCTCCTTTCGGGGCAAGGATCTGGGTCCCTGAATGCGCCTTGGAGCTCGAAGGCGGCGGCTCGGGCTCTCGGAGGGGTCTGCGCGGTGGCCGAGGAGGCTCCCGGGTGGCGGCGGCGGTTCTCCTGGGCTGGATGACGTGAGGGGAGCCAGCGGATTTTCCCAGCAAGATCTCCATGTACAGCTACATCTTTAGGGCCGCTCGGGTTAATATATGTCGTCAGAGGCTCCTCACGCCAATCCCTGGGCGGCGGGGGCGGCGCCTCTCGCGCTCCGCAATAAAACTTTTTGATGTTCATGTTGCTAATTGCAGAGGTCCTCTTCCACGATTGGCTGCCTCCTCATAACCATAAGATAATTAAAACTGGGGGGGGGCAGGGTTAAAAAAACTTTTTATCAGCCAGAGGTTAATGCAAGTGTTTAACAGATGCTTCACTATTAAAATATTTTTTCCCCCCAAGGCTCAAATATTGAAGAGTCTCAAACCAGGTACGGTATCACTCTGCTTTCTTTTCTGGTTAAAAAAAAGAAAGAAAGAAAACAAAAATACAACGCAGATATTGCTTTTCGAAGCGTTTTGTAGATGGCCGAGGCAAGAAAAGAGGCGGCCTCGTGCAGCGTTGCGCTGGGGCCGAGGGCATAGCGCGCGCGGTGGGCCCGGCGAAGGGGCGAAGGGGCGGCGGGGCGCGGCTGGAACGCGCTGCTGTGACCCGAGCACAGGTTGCAAACGCCCGTGTGTGTGGTTGTTTACTGGCCACGTTACCGGGATCGGAGCCGTCTGTGGTGGCGTAGATTACTGTGGCAACCTTTGGAGATCACGGCAGAGCCGCCCCCGCCTGCCCCCAGGGCGCACGGTCAACCCGATTGTAAATGCTCTTATTTCCACATCCTTCAGGGACACCAGCAGCCCCAGCGAAGACCTCGGGCGATTTCAAAGTGGGGGCACCTCAATTCCCCGAATCTGTGGTGTGGCCGGTATCGGTGTTCCCCCGATTTAACTAGCCTGTTTGGTAAGTAACTGAATATTTTTTACAGCGTGTTCAGAGCTTATTTTCCAGTTTTTATGAACAAACATATAAATATATCTCTGCATTCCTGCCTCCCCCATAAAAGCGGGCATCTGTGGAAAGCAGGTTTAGCTATCGGAGGGGAACCATTAAACGCCAGTTTAAGAGGCGGGCCGGGAGGACGGCTCGTGGATGTTTAGACTGCTGGCCCCGGTGATCTTGAACGCATTACAGCGGAAAGTGGATCTGCACTTGTGAGTCAGCGGGCCGCGGGGCACGAGCGTCCCGCGAAGGCTGCGAGCGCGAGGTGGGGGCGTCGGCGGCAGGAGCTGGCATCGCCCGAGGCTTGGCCCCAGCCGCGAGGGAGGCTGGAACTGCACGCAGATCCCGCCCGGCGGAGTTCCGTGTGGAAGGGCGTCAACAGGAGCCCGCGGGCTGTAAATTAGGGGGAGTCGAGGGCTGAGTGTGGAGAGGCCGGCGCGGCCCAGGCAGCCTGGGACTTGCGTCGGGGCCCGGCCAGGGTGGCCCAAGGGAGGCCGACGACTCCACACTGGGCATCGGCCCTGGGAGGCAGGCAGAGTCCGGCCCAGGCCGCAAAAGGAGCCTCCTCTGAAGGACTCCGCGAGGACAGTCCTTTCCTTGCCCGCGCGCGGGCGGGTCGCCGCCGACGCGTGGTTCCAGCTGGAAGGTCAGCGCGAATGCGGGCGCCCAACCTGGTGCTGCCATTGACCCGGCGGGACCCTGCCAGCCTGTAACCCGGGTCCCGGGGCAGCAGCCTGAGAAATATATTTTAGCTTGGCCGCCGCTGGGCGGTAGGAGGGAGGGTAGCAAAAGCTCAGGCTGGGAGTTGTCTGCCGCAAGGCCCTTTCTTCCTCTGGGTAAGGGGTTAGTATCCCCGGACGCCCCCAGCTGAGCGTCTTAAGGCCGTGAACCCCGGATGGGGAGTAGCTGATGCCAGCCTCGTTGGTAAGCACGCAGGGCTGGCATTTGGGCTCATAACAAGATAGCAACCTACAGCTCTAAATCCCCAGCGAGTGTGGCTCTGCGGTTTTGAGCACAGGAGGGTCTTTTTAAAGACCTGGTTCTTTAAGGACAGAATTCAGGTAGTGTGGTTGGGGGTTATGTTTACATTTTCACCCAGAAGCAAACCCTGATTGTGTAAATACTTGTAGTTCAACCCTCTGACATTTGATACATTTTTTTAAAAAAAGTCTGTTTATAAAAACGCATTTAGGCCTTGGGAGCAGGTAGACAAAGTAAGATGGTTGAACTGGGGCTGGGAACAGATAAAAATGAGGGGAAAGTAGTTGGTTGGTTGCTTTCAGACCCAGAGGGAGTTTGGGGGGTTGAAGGGAGGAAGAGTCTTCCAGAGGAGGGCTGGGTCGCAGAATGAGATGCTCTGTCTGTCAGAGGCCAGTAGCCTCAGTTTTGAAGGCTTCAGAACTTGCCACTTTAAGTCTTTCTCGTGCTCTTTTAGTTGAAACAGAAAATGAGTGAATCGCTTCATGGCCCCAGATAGCATCGCAAGTGATGAAAGAAATGGACAAAAAAAAAAAATCATAAAAGATGCTCATCTTAACATTGGTCCTCAGTGACAGCATCATTATCGGTTAATTACTGTAGTCCGGGGCCTGAGACTTCATGTAGCTCGGAAACTCCAACCCAGAAACTACAGCCTTAGAGAGGTGGCCTGTAGGCAGCTTGAAGAGAGGGGAAGAATGGGTGAACTCTAGTGGTGTCACCAACTGTAGTCACTGACTCAGGGAGGCCAGGCTGGCCTTGACCGGCTGAGCTCTACCCTGAATGAACAAGCTACACATCTCCTTTTTCCTTTCAGTGCCCTTTGGCGTATTTTGCCCCAGGTTTCTCAGGATGCTGGGTTAGTTGGCCTGCTCCTTTGGAAAGCTATGAGGCAAAGATACCATCTCAAGTCTGCCCCAAATTTAGGTGGCCTGCGCATCCCAGGGGTGGTAGTGATGGAGGTGATGGTAGCGGTGGTGGTAGGGGGAGAGGGTGGTGCTGGTGATAAGGGGAAGTGGGAGAAGAAAGGGAGAAACAAGCAGCCCTGAACTTAGATGTCGGCCTGGGGCCCCAGCCCTGGTCTGATGCACATGTTTGTCGCACTCAAAGGCCCAGGGGACTGCCATGATGCTGACTGGGGGTTGCCCTGGGTACCTGCAGGAGGAATCCTGGAGAGGGGTGCTTTTCTGCCTCTCCTCCAAGGCCAAGGCCGAGAGCTGGGCTGAAACCAGCCTCACCCAGATCCCAGACTGCTTCACAGGAAGGCAACCCAGGCTTGGGAGAATGTTTGTGATTCTGTGTCTGAGGTCTCGGCTGTAGCTGATGGTGTACCCACTGTGCCATGCTCCATCTGCCTTCAGCCACATGCACAGACCCAGACTGAAACATTTATTTTGCACCCATGTCTCTTGTCTCCTTCCTACTTTCCCTGGAAAAGAGGCAAAGAGCACAAGAGCGGCTGAGCACCCCCTTGTAAACATTTTAGTCTTGTGAGATATCACTTTTTAAGTTAACTGATTTAAACTATTTTTTTTACAAAAAACTTTAGGCCACTTTTAGGGAAAAAGCAGATTTTTAGGGGTGTTTATTACTTCAAAGGCAAGGGCAGTTTGTGTCTTGTATTGTGCTCATGAGAACCCAAAATGAACTGGACCTGAAAAAAGCTAGGCCAGAGGGCTGCAAACACACATTTTATATTTATGGGAATTATGGCTCAATTCATGGCTCAATTCAATTATGGCTCCCTTCATTGTCTTTCACATCTTGTTTTACCTTGTTTTTCTAACCAATATGGTAGAAGTGAATCTGAGCATTCCATTAAATAGTTATAATGCTCTTCTATGAGATGAATCCCACAACCTGCTAAAAACCCCTGAAAGAACATCAAACCTGGAAGGGGACAGGAAAAGCAATATTTTCTTGAAGATGTAACTCCAGCCCGACCTGCTTCAAAGACAGTGCTTCTTGCAATGCCCTGATGGTTCTGCTTTCCTTTCTGTACTTGGGGGGGATTGAGTCATTTTACATGTTAGCCACATAGTCGCAGAATATTTAAGACACCCAGAACAAGGGATGTTGTTTTAGTGGAGGCAGGGGTCTCCCTCTAACTGGGGTTTTGAAGTCCCTTCCTTTCTTGTTTTCCTTTTGAGAAATAGCTGTCTGTAGACTTGGCAAGTGACAGTGGCTCCAGAAGCGTGGTGCTGCTCAAAGTGCACATCTGCAAAGGAGAATCAAACTTGATTGCACTTTTTAATTTCTATGTCAAAGAGGAAGAGCAGGAAAGCTGCCCTTGACTCCTCTTATGAGGTTTCATTTCTTCTGAGCAGTTTCTGTTTGGATTTTGGGGTGGAGCTGGGATACTGGGGAGTGGACCCTCTTCCCTCTCCCCCACCCAGAGCAGATCTGCGGAGATGCGGGAGGAGGGGCTGCCACAGCCGGGCGGTGGCTGTGGAGGGGCTGATTGCTTATGAAGAAGCCTCGGTCCAGTTCTGATTAGAAAACAGCTAAGTCAGTGGGGAAAATCTTGACTTGCTCGGTGCCTATTTCCTCTCCCTCTTTCCTCTCCCTCTCTCTTCTTCCTCCCCCTCACCCTCTCTTCTTTTCTCCCCCATAATTTGCCCTCTAGCAGTGTTTGGATTTACAAGGTTTTTCCTGTCACTCAACCCGAGACTGGTGTGGAAGAATGAGACACTGGTTCATCTTGGAGTCCTTTAAGAAAAATCTTAAGATTCAGTATTATAGTCAGTAGAATTTACATTTTCTCCAAATAATCAATGACTAGATCCCTATTTTAACTGGTAGGTATACTGCTGCTCTGGGGCGTTTTGATTGATAAGAGAGATTGAAATATTTTACCAGGTACTGCCAAGTCTGTCTGCAAAGCTAAAATACTTATTCATACAAAAAGGGAACGTAAGATAACTGTGTGAAAGGCCTCACAAGAGGCAGCGTGGTGTATATTCATGGGAGGTATTATTAATGCTATTATACTAATCCTAAAAGGTATGGTAAATTGATCTTTGCTAATCTTTGCTACCTTGTAGTAAAATAGAGAGTTTAGAGCAAAACTAGTGCAAGAAAATACATCCCACAGGATTTATGTTAAATACTCATTCACATTATTGTTTTAAGCAAATTACATACACACTAGCAATATTTTCTTTCAAGCCTGGGAGCTTGATCATTCAACATTTAGATAAGGAAATGAGTGTGATTTTGGAAACATGTTCTATGGAAATAGTAAGTAATGGACTTCAACTAGCCTGCAGTGCAGTCTGGGGTTCAGAACAAAACATGAATGCAAATAGGAATTTAAAATGTGGGACTTTGGAGAAACCATTTATGTGACTGAAAGATTTGCTTGTGAATAGAGGTCCAGGCATGTTCATTTGTAGTTCTAACTTCAGTGTCGCTTGCATGCCTGGAAGGTTCTGTTCTGTCACTTCCTTTGCAAATTTACGTAGATGGATTTCTTTAGCTCCGACAGTTTCTTCCAAACCTTTTCAACATTCTTCTAGGGTCTTTGCTTATAGACAAGGGACTTGAGCCAGGATGGTTAGATTTCAGGTTAACAAAAAGAAACACTTTTATTGTCAATATTAATGGCAAACCTCAATTTTTACAAGGCTTGAGTTTAGCAGCATGAGCAGATCAAAAGCAGCTTGGCTTGATTTCTCAATATTCTCTGGAGCTTAGACAATTAACTGCAATTTTGCTTCTAACGAAACAATACAAAAAAGTTACAGAAATGTTAAAGGTAGTCTTTGGGCAGAGATTTTTACCTGTGTACAACATATCAGAACCTAATAAATTTATCTACCGAACTTCATCTGAGTTTTGGAGGAAAACTCCTTAAAATGTTGTCTGAGCTGTGTCCTCATTTGCAATGCCACAAGCCTGCTTCAGTGTGTGCATTCCACTCTTGCCTTTCTGGCTGGGTAAGGATCCGGCAGACTGAGGTCTCTCTGGTAATTTGGGTACACCGAGTCTCCAGTTAATGATAGATAATCAGCCTTTGGGTCATTCGGTCATTCTCTTATTACAACCCCCTCCTGCTCTCTCTGATCTCCTTTCAAACTAAATTTCACACAAACAAATAAAGCAAGACAGGGACAAGTTCTAAAAAAAAAGAAGGAGAAATATTAGAAACTCCTGATACAGAACTCTAAACAAGGCAAGGCAAGCTAAAAGAGGATAGGAAAGAACATCTTATCAAAATGAACATGTTGTGTACAAAACATTAAAAGAAAAGGCTCTGGTTTCTGTTAAAGTGACAGAAAATTAAAATAAAAATAATTGCAGGCAGGAAAGCTATAAACAGAGAAGGCAGGACGCTTGCTGGAAATGCGCAGCACGGGGGGGGGGCTACTTTGTTGTTACAGATTATATATCTGCACCGTGATTGGAGAGATGCTACTTTGTTCCATTTTCCAGAAGAGCATGGTTTTCTTTTTAATACTTGTGTGAGTGCCCACTTAAGTTAACACAGGCCAAAACCTCGAGGAACAAAAAATGGAATTGCATTCTGCTTGCAAAGCATCCAACTTCAAACAGAGAAATTGGTTGCATACAAAAAGGCAGAACTTCATTCAGAACACATTTGGAGACTTCACTAAATTGGTGTGACTGACGGTTCTTTGTTTTGCTGACAGAAGGTGCAAATCATTCATGGAGAAGTACAACTGAAACCAGTCCTCCCCGCCCCCCACAAGGGTCTTCGCTTTCCCAGTCTACATCTCTGCCTGTGACTCCAGAAAGACAAACTTCAGATTGACCAAGGTACATCACAGACCAGATCCCTGCGGTAAAAGTGTGAGAATGCGTGGCTCTGCTAGTTAGGATCTCTGGTGAGAGCGCCTCTAGTGCCATTTTCCTGTCCCTGCCGTTGACAGTTCCCTTTGGCCTAAGTCCAGGGCTCCAGAAGGGTCAAAGTCTACCTGCTGGTGTCCGCTCCCAAGCTCTAGGTTTTCAGTCCTAAGAGGGATTGGAACTTTGGCTGAGGACTTGATCAATCCAGTCTCCAAATGAGAGGGGCAGCCAGGAGATGGCAGCAGGTGTTGAAAGTGTGACTCCTGTTTTGTCCCCAGCTGTGAGTCCGGCACCCCTTACTAGTGTCGCTGCGAACAACCCATCTCTCTCTTATGTTGGAGAATCCACACTCCTTTGTTTCTTCTAGGCTCAGCCTAAATGCCACTTCCTCCAGGAAGCCTTTCCAGATATTGCTTCTCCTCTTTCTCTTCCCCCCATCAATCAAGTCTTCTCTTCTGAACTCCTTTCTTGTGCTCCCACTTATGTTCTTTGTCGTAGATCTCTGGACACACATATGTCACCTCCTGTGATTGTGGGTTCCTTGACAGCCCAATCAGTGCATTGCACCAAGGAGGAGCTCACACAGCCCGTGTAAAGGGCTTAGAGAAATCGAGTGAATTCCGCGTGTCCCAGTTGCAATCGGATTGGTCTTCTTTATTTTGAAAGCGATTATAGCTAGTAGAGGAGTTGAAAGTCGTTTACTAGGGGCAGCTCTCCATCCTCACGCCGTTTTCTGGATCCATCGGGCCTGCTTTGGGTTTGCCTCGGCTTGAGCTGGATGTGAGAGAGGGAGGCCCGGCCCTGGCCCGTCCAGGTACCCACTCCTGACGCCCTGGGCTCTGCAGTCAGAGCCGGGCAGAGCCGACTCTGGGCTTCCCACCGACTGGCTGAGTGACACCGGGCCAGCTGCTCGGTGCCTCCAAGCCTCGGCTCCCCAGTCTGAGCAGTGGGACAGGGTCTCACCTGGGGCGCACAGGCGAGTTTACGTGAGATCAAGGCGCATGCAACAGCGGGTCGCCAGACACAGGCTGCGCCCAGTTAGCATTCACGTACTGTCTCTTCCCGCCTCGTCGGTTTCTTCCCCACCCTTCCCGCTGCCTGGGACCTGCCCGACGGCGACGGGTGCCAGCCGGCCAGGTGTGCCCTTCCCGCGCCGCCAGCCGGGCAGCTCGTCTCGCCCGCCCGCGTCGGAGCCCCCAGGCCCCTCGCCGTCCTCGCGCTGCGCGGCCCGCGGGCATCGCCGGGCCCAGCCCTCGCGACCGGCGCGGGAGGGCGAGACGCGGACTGCGGCGGCCCAGGGAGGCCGCGGGGCAGGGGCCACCCGAGGTAGGCCGCGGCTTCCCAGCCACTGCGACGGCTGCCGGGCCGTCCTTCCGTCCCGTTTAAATTCTCGTTTTGCTCCCCAGCTTCCTCCCGGTCCCCGACACCCGGGAGGCCGGCTCTCCGCCGCTCGGGCCGGGGGAGGACGCCGCTCCGCGCCCCAGCTCCTCCCGGCGCGTCTGCGAGGCCTTTTCGCCCGAGGCGGGCGGGAAGGGGTTAACGGCGGGCCCGGGTGCGGGGCGAAGGCCGCCGCTTCCCTCCTGAGGTCTCATTAGGGAAACCCTCAGCGCTATTTTCAACATTTCCTCAATCAAGTGCCTTTAAATAGAGCTGCACAAGCAAATTGGCGGCAAAAGCGCAGATCTTGTCACGATTGAGACCGATCCAATATTTCAGCCTTGTTTGCTTTGCAATTACGGGTTGGCTTGTGGCTGCGGTGCCGCCGGGGCCACTGTGCAGCCGCTCGCTTCGTGCCCCGCGCTCGGGGCGGGTGGAGGCAGCGACCCGCGGAGCCGCGGTGGGGAGGGGGCGGGG